CGTGAAATGCCAGACTGGAGAAACATCTGCCTACTGGGAGAGGGATGCAACGGGGAAGCTTGCCCATGAGCGTGGAGCCTCCCCTGAGTAACTATCAGCACAGTCAGCCTCGCCAGGATGGGGCTTTGAACTGATGTCATCAGGAGGCCCAGAAATCCCAAAGGAAAGGAAATTTTATGTTCTCTGGCCAGCTTCTGCAAACACAAAGCTCATCTGGAGGCACATTTTCAACCCAGATCACATATGAGATCATAGCTAACTCCCCATCGAAGATGACCTCACAATGCAAAACTGCCGATACCCTAGCCAAAAGCACGCACCTGGAGCAGGGGTCAGCCAATGTCCAACAGCAGGATTCGGCGCTAAAGACCTTCAGGTTTAGAATTATCAGATAGAGATGATAAAATTAGTGTGTTCAAAACTACGAAAGGGAAGCAAACAAGAGAAAAAGAGTAAGTCATTATCATAAAGAACCATATATTAAACAATAAAATAGAACTTTTAGAAATGAGAAATTAGTCATTGGAGTAAATTCAATGTGCAGAGAAACGCTTCACTTCAAAGAGAACCCAAAACCCTGCCTAATAAATATAAAACACTATAATAATATTCTCTAATAACTAGTAAATCAAAGAATAATTATTAATGTTCTCAAGTTTCTTGAAAATAGGATGAGTTTAAATCTGTACTTTCAAAAACTTTACCTCAAAGTTAATAAATCCCCAGCATCTCTGATTTTTCTCTGTCTCCATCCTTCTTTCTGTAAACTCTCTTGGTCATCCTCTGTGCTAAGGGAAGTGAGCTGCCCTTTTATTTTCTGTATTTCCTGTTCTTGGGGTATAATTTTCACTCATGACAACCTAGGTAACATCTGATTAGGAAGAACAAACAATATCCTCAGTGAGAAATAACAGGTTAGATAAAAGTGATCAGAATGAACTAGTGAAATGATACTGATTTTTATTGCAACAATCCACTCTTAATTTCCAGCTTTATAAATCACCTATCTTCAAGTAGCATAAATCAGTGGGTAAAATGTCATGCTTCAATTTTAATGATGCCTGAGATTTTTTTAATATAACAATGTTTCCGTCTCTAAAAAAAAAAAACACATTTCAGAAGTAGTAGCTCTGATTCCTCTATCATTGCCATTTGGACATTAAAGACATAAAAGATAGACTATACCAATAAAAAGAATATTAAAAGATTCCTTTAACTGTATTTAACCTAAAATGTAACAAGCAGATCTTTGTGCAATTCCTCTTAGGCACTGTGTGCAGTTGAGAGGCCCAAAACAATGTGTCTGTTAATGAAAGAGCCCGCCACCCCAATCACGCTGAGCATTTATGGCAAGTCCGCTGGGAGAAAGGGAAGGCCGGAAAAACTAATAAGAAAGCATACGAACTAATTAATTACACAACTTAGACATGTGTAAACTGAGCAGTGAATCTAAGAGGCCCACCGAGTGTGAGGTGGTCATGCTTGACTTGGTCATAATCACCAGCTCTGATCGGCCCCAGCATTTTAAAAGACTGTCTAGAAGCTGCTGTGGCAGCAGACACCTCTGGGGTACCCTGGCTCTCTTCTTGGCCTGGTTTGTGGTTACTGTGGTGAGCGAAGTTCAGGTGATAGGCACCACTTACCCACCTGTCTCCTAGGTGAGAAATAAAGGGCAGGCGGAGTTGTCCCCCCCCCCCAGATAACACAAGGGCACAGGGCGAGAATCTCAGGGGAGGTGCTGCAGAGTCACTCTACTGCTGCAGCACCCGCATGTGCTGTGTCGCTCCGTGTGTGTCCCTGGCTTGTGCAGATGTCTGTCCTGCGTCTTCACCTCAGGCAGTTTCTGCATCCACTAAACCCCCTTCCTTTATCCCACTGATCAGCTCAGGGGCCCCCCTGTTTTATCTGAACAGATTGTATTGATAGAGGAGCTACAGGGTCAGCTTGCACTGGTGACCAGACTGCATCAAGAGGAGACAGAGAAATTTACAAACAAGGTCCGAAAGGTAAATATGTCAGCACAACCATAAACATGGATGTCAGCACAACCCGGTCTCTGACTGCAGAGCCCATGGGGAGACTGAGATGACAAGATGTGTTGTAAAAGAACGTTGTCTATTGTGCACAGGCTCCTGTACCTACAAGGCTGGAGGGTGTATGGAAAGGCCATCCAGACAAGCTACCCACCTCAGACATCTCATAAAGATAACCGCTTACCTTTCTGCTCTAAAACATGCTTTTCAAAATTTACAGTGTGATCTCAGGAAGTTTTTCTTAATACCTAGCCTAAATTTCCCTGCAGCCAGAACCAGCCAAGTAAAATAAAATAAAGGCCCTAAATGCACTAGGCATGAAAGTGTGTGCAACAACTTTTGTTGCCCAGCAGATTTGTAAGTTTTGTCAATGCTAGGTAAATTTCTGAAAGAAATATCAACAACTCATCCTAAATTATTGTTTTAAAAAAACCTGACATTGGGCCAGCCGAGTGGCGCATTGGTTAGGAGCTGGCTTGGGACGCCAGCTCTGAGCAGCAGGGCCCCGGTTCGGATCCCACATATGAGGGCCAGTGACGCTGCCCTCTATAGCTAAGATGGTGAACAACAGCTCAACCTGGAGCTGGGCTGCCGTGAGTCACCGGCGATGGCCTAGGCTGAAGCCCCTGCTGCAGTGGGCTGCCATGGGCTACGGTGTGTGGCTGGCAGCCAGCGTGAGCGGCCAGTAGCTACTGTTAGCTGCTGTGAGCCGCCATGAGCGGCCCTCCAGAGGCCGGTGACCTATCTGCCTCAGCTGGGAAAAGCGCGATGATAATACCAACATGGGCCAGTGAAGCAACGTCCTCCACAACTAGACTGAAGAACAAAAGGACAGCAACTTGTCTGTTCCCCTTCCCCCGATTCCCCAGCGCTGTTCCCCTCCCCCAATTCCCCAATTAAAAAAAACAACCTGACATTAATTGAGCTGTGGCCTTATTAGCTCCTCTCAGTATTTTTGAATAACTTGTTACTGGCTGATTATCCTTTATCTGTTAAATCCTTTCTCAGAGTGCCTAGTAGAAGGGATTCAAAGACATAGGCACTTGTTGCCCCTGGCCTCTCTGTGAACTGGCCAGTCCCTGCCACTCCGAATCTAATTAGATTGTAAACAGATATCCAGGCTCAGAATTGCCCTTGCTGCTTTCTCCCCTCTTGTAGTTGTTCTTGAAAGACACTTGTATCTTTAAAAAACAAAACCAGAAACCAGTTGATCTTGTTGAATGGGCATCACGATGTTCTAAAATGCATATCCTCTATGGTAAAATAAGGTATCCAAGAACTTAGTACATTTACCCCCATGTTGTCCATGCTCATGCTCATCTAAATAGGTCAAACCCGGTTAAGGAAGCGCCTTCTGCACCTTGCAGCTCGGGGAGAGCAAAGCTGTATGCCAAGATCTCAATGTGCTCTGCCAACCTTTACCACCAGATGCTCTTCCCTTTTAAACGTTTAATTTTTAGGTCAAGTTTTACATATTATTACAAAAGGAAAATAATTTTGTATCACTCAAAAGGGAAACTCCTAAGTAATTTAAATTGTTTTTGCACTGAACCAAAAATCATGTTTGAAAGTGAGTTTATCCCTGGAGATGCTGATAGCAAAATGGCAGGGTCCCAGGTGTTTCTAGTACTTGGATTCAGGATAAAGGAGTATGTTGAAGGTCAGAGGTGATGAGATGTCATCCAAACTTGTTCAGAGGAGAAGGGAAGGTGTCCCCCAACACAGCCCAGGGCATAGGACCAGCTCTGAGCCTTGGGAAGTGCTTAGAGTCCTGGAACAAGAGGAAGCAACGGCAATGGAGGAGGAGAGGTAGGATGGAGTGAGTCAGGAAGGAGAATTTCCAGGAGGTGCAGATGAAAGGACTAAGAGAACATCTGCCTCCCCCAGTGCTGCAACTCTGCCAATTAATTCTCTAGCGCTTCTAGAGCATCTACCTGGAGTTCCTACGGTGAGCCAGGCACTCTACACAGCATCTCATGTTAGTTTCACTCATCTAGTACTTTAGGAAAACAAGACTCACTGCCTTGGGTTTTGGCACAAGAGGGAGTGTTAAATTAGGAGAGGACAACTCATAATGATAAGGCTGGCAAGCTAATCCTTTTTTTGGTCTGTGGAACAGAAAACTTTCATCTCATTTTAGCTACTATAGATAGTATTCTTGTGCCCTTGTCTGTAAATTAAGATTTTATTCACACATTTTGCTTAGTCATTATTGACACATGATTGTTTATTGCTTGGAAGAGGGCCTACACCTGTGTTGAGAAAGCAGGAATTCAACATAGAGATGAGAAATATTTCTTTTTCAGTAATGCTTTTATTTCCCTAAGAGTTACCCATATCTAATAGGAATGTGAAGTCTTAAGCGTGGAAGTAAGCGATGGACTTCCTTTCCTTTCCACTGCTTACCACTGTATGCAGTGGAGTACTCACTGCATGTTTCACGTTCAGTCCCGCTGGCCCCCAGCTCTCACCATCAGGCTCTGTTGGCCTCTCCATCAGCTTGCTGTTCTCCACTTTCTGTTGGGCGCTGGGGGGACCAGAGGGTCCAGGAAGTCAAAGAGAAGGATTTCCACTTCTTCCCCTTTTACAATTGCGATGTGCCTTTGTGTGCAAGCCCAGGTTCAGAGGGCAAATGGAATCTGCATTTAGGTCAGCTGTAGCCATCCAAGAAGCAATTCTCCTGAAGGCATTTAGGGATATCTCAAAATACCTCAAGAGACTTGACCATGAAAAAACGATTACAATACCTTACCTTGAAAGAGCAATTGCTTCTGAATCAGAAAACTCATGAGGTTTTATAAATACTAAACATCTCAAGGAGTTTACTAAACTTTTGGTGGCTTCTGTGTTTCATGTCCCATATGCAAAATGATATACAATCGCTTGAATGGCAGTTTGCAAAAACTCTTGGTTTGGTTTGGGTGGCACTTGGAATAGCTGCCTGTCACATTCTGTCTTCTGTTCAAGATGGAGGAGGAACACCTGTATGCCTTGAGGTGGAAAGAGCTGGAAATGCATAACCTGGCATTGCAGAACACCCTCCATGAGCGAACCTGGAGTGATGAGAGGAATGTGATGCAGCAGGAACTCCGGTCCTTGAAGCAAAACATTTTCCTTTTCTACGTCAAGCTCAGGTGGTTGCTGAAGCACTGGCGGCAAGGGAAACAGATGGAGGAGGAAGGAGAGGATTTCACTGAGGCACTTCCACCCGGAGAGGTCGCTTTATTTGTATTGGTTTTGTTCTCAACCCCCAGACACTCCTGTGCCCCTCCCCACACACATGAAATCATGTTCTGTTCAGATTATTTTGTCAAGTCTACCCCAGACAATGCACATGCAATGGGTTGACTATGTATATATCAGACTAAGAATTCTGTGCTGCCCTTTGGCCTGGTTTTAAGAGTACACGGGTCTCTATCTCCATTCTGCAACAAAATTTTGCTGCCATCTCTTTTATTGCTGACTTATGAATTCATTTTTTTAAAGTGATTACCCCCTGAGATCCTTGACTATCTCATTCTACCTTGCTGGTTTGTAAAACCTGTTTCCTCTTTCTATTTCAGTTTTTTGTTCCTAGATGCTAGAGCCCGTTCTGCCAATGCAATTTTATAAGGGTCCCTTTTAAGCTCCAGATGGGTCACTTTTTTGCCACCTCTGAAATGTGTGTATGTTCTCTTAAGAAAGAGAACATGTCTCAATTCCTGGATTTATAGCAGAATCAGAACAATTGTTTGCTTTCAGATGGATTTTATTAATTAAATCAGAGTGACCGCTAGCTCAGCAGGCTCCTTCCTGGCCTTGCTCTCTGGTGAGCGGATGGAACCACCGGTGTTCCGTGTATCCACACCGCTGGCTACTCTGTCAGCAGCCTCAAGGCAGTGTGAATATTGATTTCCTTTTAGCCCCCAAAGACCTTTTGTCTTCTTGTCACTCTAGTGGACAGCATATGTAATTTTAATCATCCTATGAATGGGAAGATATGGTGATTCTCTTTCCTCAGGGTGAAGAAAGTCTTCAAATGTTAATTCAATCTGCTTCCAAATATCCATGACATAGAAAACCATCATTAAGCAAAACCTAGGAATATTTGTAAAGTTTCCTGTTGCTCAATACTTTGGGGTTCCTCCTCTAATTTATAAAACTAACTGTAAGCAATAATAATTTATTAATAGTAAAATTTCTAATCTAGTGAACTGTATTTACTACACTGTATGCTCTTTAAATGGAGAAGGTGACCAATGAGTGAAATGGTCAAAATGAGCATATTAGGGGAAAGGGCTGAGAAATGAAGACTTGATAACCCATAGTGGATAATTATCCTCAATCCGTAAAAATCAAACTGCATAGCAGAAGGATTCAGGTACAGCTGTGATCATTATCTCTGCTGTTTTCAGAGCGAGCACCCGGGGCCCCACCCCAGGCTTGGTGAGGTTGGAGTCCAGGGGGACTCAAAGGGGGACAGCCCAGAACACGATGACAGCGATCCAGGCTGTGGCTCCTTGATGGGGAAGCATCGTCCACACTCCCCTGTGCAGGTCGGTGACCATGGATCTCGGCTGCAGCCTGCAGATGGAGGACAGCTCCACAAGCAGGTGGGTGCCAAGGTTTTAGCCCCGTTTTACCCACACCTCTATGTCTGTGTCATCTTTTATCATGGGCTGGTGTTCTGGGGAGCAAAAAACTTTTCTGACTTACAGTGGCTACCTGTTACTGTATTTTTGCGATAAATCACATCATTAAGACTTTCATGTTAATGTCAGCCCATTAGTTCATTTGGTTTACACATTTAAATAAGGACCATAATAAGATCAGATCAAGTGTATCCCCTCAAGGTCAGCAAATGTGCCGCAGAAAGAGAAGGAAAAAAGTATTCTGTAGAGGGGTCTGAGGCCTTGTCAAGGTTGACCATTCTTCCAAGGAGGAGAGAACATGGAAGCAGACTCTAATCATGGCCAGAAAACAGAACATACAGGTCTTTTCTGTTGATGTTTAGCTGAATGGGTATAGGCAATGGCACTAATTTGGTAACATAATGAATAAGGAGGAAAGAACAAGCATTATTATTATTGTTTAATTTTATTGGGGAACAGCCATGGTCATTGGTTACACATTGCTTTCATGCTACAATGGCATAGTTGACTCTTTTAGAGAGGGCACAGCTCACAGTGGCCCATGCGGGAATTGAACTGGCAACCTTGGTGTTAGAACCCATGCTCTAACCAACTGAGCTAACAGGTCACCCCCAAGTTTTGTTTTGTTTTTTAATCCCCAAACATGTATAAAGTGTTTCAGGTTTTTTGGGTTACTTAAAACATAATGCCCCAAATAAAAATATTTGATGACATATTTAAAAAAATTAAAAACGTGTAAAGAGAGTTTGGATTTCAGTGTATAATATTAAGTAATTATTAGTGTCACCAAGTGCCACATTTATTAATTATTAAGCACATAGACCCTACTTAATAAACCAAAAGATACTATTGATACCAGCCAGATTTTTTTTTCTTCAAGATTTTATTAGGGACTTGGGGAAGGGAAACAGTGTTGGGGAATTGGGGAAGGGGAACAGACAAGTTGTTGTCCTTCAGTCTTAGTTGTGGAGGGTGCAGCTAGCTCAGCTCCAAGTCCAGTTGCCATCCAGCCGCCTGTCAGCGCAGCTCACTGGCCCATGTGGAAATCAAACCAGTGACCCTGTTGCTCAGAGCTCACGCTCTTAACCAACTGAGCCACTCGACTGGCACTGTAGCCAGATTTTTTTGCACTTTTATACAAAAAAGTAGCCGTGGTGAGTTTGGAGTGTTGAGACCCTGGGAGGCAACTAGTGTTAAAGCTTTCTCATTCCCAGACTTCCTGGTCTGGGTCTTTTCTGACCCTGTGTTGCTTCTCTGAGGGTCCCATAGGGCAGAGCCTGAGCTCCCAAGCCTTGGACCCCTGGCTCTGGGGTGACCCTAGGTGCAGCAGTCACTCTGAGCAGGTGGGTGAGGCTGCAGCCACTCAACCACAAACATTTTTGGGCACTCCCTCTGCACTGGACTCCACAGCTGCGGCCCTTTCCTCAGCCCAGAGCCTCCAAGGGTCAAGTGGGAGAGGGCTGTCATCAGCACTTTGGCTCAGATCCAGATGGGGAAAAGTGGTGATGTCTGAGCACGGGCCCCAGGGAAATGTGTATTTTCCCCTTACTGCTTTCACTCCATATACAAATCAGATTTTCACAACTAAAGAACTATTTTCTATGCACCACCATCTACCCTTGAATAATATGACTCAAGAAAGAGGTTATATTTTCAAAGAAACTTTTAATTAGTTATTAGGAAGTTCATTGTAATGCCAGTGTCCATGGGGAGATTTTAGCTCATGGAATGAGTTTTCCAGAAATGACTTAGTCAGAAAATAAAATGCTACTTTGCAAATAATCCTTTAAAATCTACCAGTTTTATTATTTTTAAAAGAGATATTGGCAATCAATACTATAAAGTACTTGTGATTAACTCAAATTGCATTCCTTGATTGCCACTTGGTCAAAAACCTGCTGCACTAAGATCAAGTGTTGGGTGTTTCCCACGCGTGCATCCAAATGCTTTGGAAAAGGAAAAAATGAATACATCTGTTTTCTAAACAACAGTCACGGAAAATTTTGCCCTTGAGGTGGAAAATAATATAAGGTCACTCGGCTGGAACCTAACATTCAGTATATTTTAATATCATCTCTCTTTTCCTCCTCTTCCATTGTAATTTTGTAGCTCTTCCCCTTAAAGAAGAGGTGGACCCATGAGTTTTCACTTCACACAGTGTGCAGTAGGGGCACATGAATGTGCTTACAGGATAGGGGCCAGCCGGGCAGAATCAAGTCTGCTTTTAATGGACCCATCTCTCCATAGTAATTAAGTGCATAATGTCATCTGTCTGAAGATGGAAGATTAATCAGCTCTACTGTAAGTGACAGCTGGTTCCCTGGCAGTCAACATTCTCCCTTAGAAGGTTTGCCTGCCCTTTAGTGGCCTGGGTATTAGGTAGGCAGCCAGGGTCTTACAGAGCTGCCATACAGAGCTGCATCCTTTTCAGAAACTCTAGCGCCTTCCAAGGTAATAAGCAGAATAAGGAAGGTAACCTAACTTCGTTCCCCAAGACATATTCACAAGTAACAAAATTTCCCAGGCCTTGGTCTTTGCTTTGTGTCATATTGAACATTCTCACAGTTGAACACAGTAAATGGCAACATTTATCATGTTCAAAGACATAGAAAAAAAGTTCATGTATTGAATCAACCTTGGACATGTTCATGGAAATTATCAAATTGGAGAATATTTGGTTCTGCCAATGTTCCCTGTTGACTTTAGTTACACGGCGCTTTAGCAGCAGTGACCTGATTGCCCTCAAGAACAGTAAGCACTTTCAGTTTGCCCGGCCTGTGGAAGAGCAGAGGCTGGAAATAGGCAAGGGCATGTTGCGTAGTTCTCATTCAACTCCAAGATGCTTACCACTTGCCACTACCTTAAGCTTTTGAGACCAGCGCCCCTAAAGCTGTGTATGCATTTTGTATTCATTAGTAATTCCTGAAATCAAGTTTTGTTTTATTTTGTTTTTTTAACACAAAGCGATTAATAGTGCCAGAATTATAACCCTGTCTTCCCACAACTGGATTAATTTATTAAAAGAGAAGATAACTTTTTCATTCAGGGATGTGACATAATACTCTTTATTAAAGCATCTAAGTGTAAAATAACCTAATTTAAAATTCAGAGCAAGATCTAATGAAATTATGTTTCATATTAGTTTTCAATTCTTCAGCTAGGACTGGTCACTGAAGTGTCTCACTCAGGATCCAGCCTTAGGACTGATTGGAATCTGCTCCCCTGGGCCTTTGTCACTGATCGAGGACTCGTCTGAAGCTTAGGGTCTTCAGGGGCTAGCCTAAGTAAGAGTCAACCTTTCTCCTGCGGACAAAGTACCTTTGGTTTCCTCGACCTCTTAGACTTCGACGCACCTGAGTGCCCAGCAGTCTACTTTCTGGCTGCTGTCCACCTTTCTGTTTTGCCCAAGATGCAGAAACTTCCAGACAGAGCACCACTTCCAGACAAGGCTTGTACATCAGAACTGTGATCTGCCTTTGTTTTTGTTTTTTTTTTGTAATAAGCAAGCTTTCCTCTTGAACCTAGATAGCTTTTGCTTTTCAATTTTGTATGTTGTACCATGGTTTATTCTTCAGACTGAAACTTTATATCCCCACCTAGGAGACAGGCAACTCTATATAAAAGGAACCAGGCCAGAGCTATGATTAGGAAACATTTTATTTTTGCTGTGCTTTTAGTTTGTTTATTTCTGTTACTGTAGAAATAGCACGTGCTGGAGGTGAAAAGTCACAAGTACTAAATGAGACTTAAGAAAAGGACTCTCTCTGCCCCATTCCCACCTCCCAAAGTTAGATGTGGTTGGCAGTTTATGACATACCTAGTGTGTAACAAACTCTAAACCTTGCTGATGACTTTTTTTCCCCATCTGACCACTTGATTTTCATCAGACCTGCCCTGTCTCTTTGAAGCCTTTGTCTGGTACATCTCAGTTTATAATTTATTAAATATATGTCAGTTAGTTGTTTCACACCCACATTTATTCTTGGGAAATGAAAATAATGATGGCCTGCAGGCACACAGCCCTCATGGCCTGAATCACCTGGTATGTTTTCAGCCAGAGGACAAATGAGTTTTTTACATAAATTAGTCTATCATCTTTATAAACCTCCATTGTAGATTACATTTTCACGGCCAGTCTTCAATGACCCATTGTCTTTTTTCTGTGGGGGGATAATGGTTATAGAAAAGAATCTTAAAATTAACCTGAATGTAACAATGAAGGTAAGAATGACCAGTGGCTTATTTATTAAAATGTTGCTGGTTGTACAAATGTATCTTTTCTGGCTAATCTCACAGAAAAGGTCTTGTCTCCAGACGCCTGCTGGTAGAGGAGTTTCTGCATGAGGTCCCCTTCTTTATATGTATCAAATAGGAACTATGCAGGGGTCAAGAGCAGCTTCCAGAGCATTCCAGAACTCCCTGCCTGTGTCTAATAGCCTAAATGAATAGGAGGTGGAGACCATCACTTCCATTTTATGACTGGATTTTTGTGGGTCAGCCTGTATAGCAGCATGTCAATATATCTGTTCCAACTTTAGATTAAAGCCGTTTCCAAAGTTAATGGCTCTAATACAAGCAAAGTAGATGGTGGTAATTTAGCTGTTTCACAGAATTATGATGCACAGGTATGAGAAACCTTAGGCAAGAATGATTTTGTACAAATTGCTGACATTGTATCACAAATAGCTTGGTATGCTACCTTTTCCATAAACTTCCTTTTCACTTTCTATTAATAATAATGTTTATCATATACTTGGATAGTAGTTCTATTGGCTGATGCCCAATCTTGAACCTGTTCTAAAGTTTATCGATTTATAGCACAGTTAGCTCCTGGTCGCAATTTGGGGATTATTTTAAGCTTTTTTTCACCCAAGAGAGATGAGCTTAGAAAGGCTGAAATGCCCTTAAACTGGGGAGAAAAAATAGTGGATCCATTTTATCCTGCTTCTTTGTGAGAAAACCAACCAGCTGATCTTGAAGAGATTGAAAAGTTGGTCTTTTAAATTGAAATTGACCTATACGTAAGAGATACATAAGTCGAAAGGTTGCATAGCTAGGCCACTGGCACAGAGGTTCAGAAGCTCTGTATCTGAGAAGACTTTCACCTAAAGACTTTTAAAAGGACTAGAGAGTCTTAGTTCTATTCTTGACTTGATTTGGGTCACCGTTTTACCCAAAATGTAGTCGAACAAAAAGTAAAAAAAGTAACATCTAGATATTTTTTTGTGGTGCCTCACTATTATTATTTCCCTTGAAAAGGGGGGATGGAATTCATATCATGAGAGTAGATGGCTTCTCTAAAACCAAGATTTAAAAAAAAGAAAAGCCTGGTCAAGGTTTCATGTCAGAATCCAGACATCCTGGCCCAGTCTGTCTGCCTTGGATGGGACAGGTCTGGGTTGCAGTCCGGGCTGTTCACTTCCTAGCCACGAGATGTTGGCATCACTGCACACTGTGTTCCCCCTCTGTAACATGGGGAACATGGCCATACGTACCCAGGATTGATGTGACGTGCAAGGTCATGTAGGTGAATGATTTAGCCCACCCCTTGGCCTATTAGAAAGAATATTAGTTATCATTACTGGGGGTTTTGTATGTGAATAAACTGTTTAGAAAGATTATGTCCATCTACAGCTAATTCTGGATCTTCAGAAATTTTTACTTGGACATCAGTTCTTGAGGTTGTGCACCAATACAGAGAGATAGTGTGGCTTCTTGCCATGTTGCATGCTGCTCCCAGGTGATTATAGTAATGAATACCAATAGTGTGGATTCTCTGAACTCTCTTGCTCCCTTGGCCTCCTTTACCCCAAAGCAATTTTGAACTCATTCCATGATGATTAACATTATACTGATATAATAGGACATTATGTTGATTGCTGTGACCCAAATGTACATGAAAATATTAAAGCTTAATTTTATTTAATCTGATACCTGCTAATGCCAAAAAAAACTTACTTCCAGAGTAAGTACTTCTAAATTTTTAATCTGCAATGGACTGTCACGTGAACCCTGCTTTTGAGGAGTGCAGAGTGCTGGTCCTGATGTTGTCAGAGCTGTTTGGTGTAGGGCTAAGAACCCCATAGGCTGACCACATAGGTGACTTGGGGTTCATAGGGAGCTATTGATTACATATAAAAATTTATTATGTGGTTTTCTGCATTTTCTTCAGTGACACTTAGATGAGTACAATGACTGAATCAAAATTTTTACCATTGTTTTATGCTCAAAAATACTTTAACTTAAAAAGTAGTCATATTTTTAAAAATTTAAATCCAAAGATGAAAATGCCAAATAAATCTACCATAAAATATACATAATTTTCAGCAAATTCTATACTTAGGATGATGTGTGTTTCTGTAAAGGTTGTTGCAACACCTCTTATTCACCTGCACTTATATAATTTTTAAATATTTGTGGTGTAGCGTTTACAGAAACCGTTCTGCCTTTATTATAGTTTCACACATTTCTGAGCATCTCTTTGAGTACAGTGATAATTTATATATATTCAGATGGTTGGAAAGAATTTTCAAAGGTTACCTGCTGAGCTTTGCAAATGTTAACTGAATTGTATTCCTAATGCCTTTCGTCTCAGAGCTGTTAAAGGAAATATTAGTAGTAAAGGTGAGAAAAATCAAGGAGCAATAAATGCTAACCAATAGGCCTTTCTACTTGGTCAAAATTCTACTGTATCTAATGTTATAACTTCATGTAAGTTATGGGATAACTGTGGAGTTTTCAGTAATAAATTTGCTCATGTTAAGGAATTTCTCTTTTCTAATTCAATTTTATCTAAATCCAAATATATATCCAAAGTACCTTAAATTCTTCCTATCTTTGCGTACGTACATGTGTATGTTTAGTGGATTAACTAGATAGTTTTAGAAGCACAACTGACTCTCCACATAATGGAGGAGAGGTGATGTGTGTGCAGATCCCAAGCTAGGGAGCTTGCCGCCCTTGGCATGCGGGGTTTACCAAGTAGCGGGGATTCTACCCGAGAGTAAGGGCTCTGTCTTCCCACAGTAGAGAATCTGCATCCTCCTGCCTCATAAAGGTATCAAACCAGATTGCGTCGAGACTATCTGAGAGCTTGTGATGCACTTTTGTGTTTTCTGTTTGATTGGAAGAGTTGGGCTCATGTGGCTTTTGTTATTCAGGTACAGAATTGATTCAGTGTGTTTAATTCATTTGGACAAATCTTTCTGATAAAATACCCTTGCTGACATGTACTAAGATAGCATTCATAGTTTTGAAACTGTGCCTTCAAAGGGCAGGACATGTTTTAGAAAATATAAAATCTTTTAAATTAGATATAATCAGATTAGTAATAAAAATCCATTTTTCATTTACTAGACCTGTTTGCACAGTTCACATGAGCCAAAAATTGTGGGAAACACTGGAAATGTTGGGGTGGGTCAGACTTTGTCTCTCTCCCTGGCACTTCAAGTGCGGGGAGGGGCACAAGATAAACGAGCTGTGGTTATTTGTGCTGTTAGTGAAGTGGAAAGGAGAGGGCAGTGATTGTGTCTCAGGGCACCATGAGAAAGCTTTCATGAACAGGTTAAGCATTTACCTTTAGCTTTAATTATTAAACCTCAAAAGCCCACTCTGGCCCATGGCCATGCCATGCTTGCTATATATATGACCTCTTAGTAACTACAAGTCAGAGGATGACCACTCTATGTTTATAAGAGACACTGGACCTTTATTAATTCCCTTCTGGTACAACAGCTGGCATTAACATGACAGCGCACATAAGTAAGTGTTTGTAATTTGTTATATCTACACTCCCAGCCAGAGCTTTGGATGTCTGAAGTCCACAGAGCATCCTAGCAGCCCGGGACTTCCTCCCTTCTGCTCCAGGTTGCCATAGCAGCAGCTTGTGTTCTGGCCTCCCTCCTATTCCAACCTTAGCAGTCTCAGCCCCAGGGCCCAATGACTGACATAGGGACACCCTGGCTCTGCAACCATTGCCAAAGGCACCTTGGAAACAGCTCACCTTGATTTCCAGGCTCCTCTCCTTTTCTGACCTAAAGACTACCCTTACATAAGGTGGCAGAGCCAACTCTCTTGTTCCCACAGGTGGTGGAAAACCAGCAGCTGTTCAGAGCACTGAAGACCTTGCTGGAGGACTTACGCTTAGAGCTGCGGGAAGACGAGCGTGCCCGGCTGCGGCTGCAGCAGCAATATGCCAGCGATAAGGCTGCCTGGGACGTGGAGTGGGCCATGCTCAAGTGCCGCCTAGAACAGGTACCTACCCCACCCGGTCTCCCCCAGGAGGAGGAGGTGGGGAGGAGGCACAGTTACTCAGATCTATATTGACCCCCATCTAAGAAAAGAGGGCTCTGAGGAGAAAATCAGAGCAGCTTCCTGCTATCTCTTTTTAAAGTCCCCAATCTTTTCAACATACCTTCTTTCCCCCCATATTCCCTCTTCCAAGTGTGAAATACAGTCCCCACCGAGCATCATTTTTATTTTTATTCTTTTAATATTTAAAAATTTTTCCAATTATAGCTGACATACAATATTATATTAGCAGCAGGTGTACAACATAGTGGCTAGACATTTATACAACTTATGAAGTGATCACCCCGACAAATCTACTGGGTTGTCAGAAAAGTCATGACGCATTTTTTGCAATGAAAAACAGAAAAAATACATCATGACTTTTCCGACAACCCAATAGTACCCATCTGACACCATACATACTTATTAGAATATTATCGACTATATTCCTTATGCTGTACTTTACACTCCCATGACTATTTTGTAACTACTAATTTGTACTTCTTAATCCATCCCCCAGTTTCACCCATCCCCCTAACCCCTCTCCCATCTGGCTACCATCAAAATATTCTCTGTATATGTGAGTTTGTTTCTGTTTTGTTTGTTAATTTATTTTGTTCTTTAGAGTCCACATATAAGTGAAATCATATGGCATTTGTCTTTCTCTGACTTACTCCACTCAGAATAATACCCTCTAGGTCCATCTATGTTGTTGGAAATGGTAAGATTTCACCCTTTTTTATGGCGGAGTAATGTTCCATTGTGTATATGTACCACCTCTTCTTTATCCATTCATCCACTGATGGACACCCAGATTCACTCCATATCTTCGCTATTATAAATAATGCTGCAACGAACATATGGATGCACATGTCCCTTCAACGTAGTGTTTGGGTTTCATCGGATAAATACACTGAAGTGGGATTACTGGGTCCTTCTTTGACCTTTGTTATAGCCGTTGTTTTAAGGTCTGTTTTGTCTGGTATAAGTATTACTACCCCAGCTTTTTTTTAATTTCCATATTCATGAAATATCTTTTTCCATCCTTTTACTTTCAGTCTGTGTGTGTCTATTGATCTAAAGTGAGTCTCTTGTATATAGCATATGTAAGGGTCTTGTTTTCTTATCCATTCAGCCACCCCATGTTTTGATTGGAGCATTTAATCCATTTACATGGAAAGTAATTGTTGATAGATATGTAATTGTTGCCACTTTGTTATTCATATTTTTTATCCTTTTCTTCTTATTATTGAAGAAGTCCTTTAAACATTTCTTGCAATACTTAGTTTGGTGATAATATACTCCTTTAGCTTTTTCTTATCTGGGAAGCTCTTTATCTGTCCTTCAATTCTAAATGATAGCTTTACTGGATAGAGTAATCTTGGCTGTAGGTCCTTGCTTTGCATTACTTTGAATATTTCCTGACAATCACTTCTTGCCTTCAAAGTTTCTGTTGAGAAATCAGCTAACAGTCTTATGGGAGCCCCCTTTGTAGGTAACTAATAGCTTTTCTCTCACTGCTTTTAAGATTCTCTCTTTGTCTTTAACCTTTGGCATTTTCATTATGATGTGTCTTGGTGTGGGCACTCTGCACTTCCTTGGGCTCGTATGTCTATTTCCTTCATCAGATTAGGGAACTTTTCTGTCATTATTTCTTCAAATTGGTTTTCAATTCCTTGCTCTCTTTTCCTTCTGGATGTTGGTACAAATGATGCAGATGTTGGTTTGTTTGAGGTTGTCCCAGAGGCCCCTTAAACTATCCTCATTTTTTTTGATTCTTTTTCCTTTTTGCTGTTCTGACTAGGTGTTTTCTGCTATATTATCTTCTAAATTGCTGATTTGAGCCTCTGCTTCATCTACTGTTGATTCCCTCTAATGATTTCATTTCACTTACTATATTCTTTATTTCTGACTGGTTCATTTTTATGTTCTCTATCTCCATTTTTATGTTTCCTACCTTTTTTTTGAAGTTCTCACTAAGATCACTGAGCATCCTTATAACCACTCTTTGGAACTCTTCATCTGGTAGATTGCTTGTCTCTACTTTATTTAGTTCTTTTTCTGAAACTTTGTTCTATTCTTTTATTTGGGACATTTTTTTTGTCTCCCCATTTTGGTTGCCTCCCTGTGTTTGTTTCTGTGTATTAGGTAGAGCTGCTATGTTTCCCAGTCTTAGTAGAATGGCCTTATGTAGTAGGTGTCCTGTGGGGACCAGTGGCACAGTCACCCTGGTCACTTAAGCCAGGTACTCCAGGTGTGTCCCTTGTGTGGGTTGTGTGTGCTTTCTTGTTGTAGCTGAGTCTCAGTTGCTGTTGGCACATCAATGAGAGGAATTAACCCTCAGGCTGATTGGTTCTGAGGACTGGCTGTGACTACAGTGGAGGAACTGTTATGTAAGAGCAGGATTTGCTTTAGCAGGGCTCTGGTGCCTGCCCAGTCTTCCTTTTAGGTGTGTCATCTGTGGAGGTGACCTGGTGGTGCTCTGTTATGGTCTGAAACCAGCCACTGGGCATGCTGGCCCTGGGTACTCCTGGAAAGGCCCTGCCACAGGCCAAGTTTACCTGCTGCCGTGCCCTTCCAGGGGCCATCTAGAATGAGTCACAAAGTGATCGTCCGATGTCTTCCACCCTATCTGGGCTTGGAGGTGCCTAGGAGAGGGTAAACTGTGAACCAAGGTCTGCTGCCACTAGTGCCAGACTTGGGGTTGCTTAGGAAGAGGTATGGGGTATGCCAAGCCCAGATGCTGCTTGTTTTGGGTTTGTGAACTTTGAAAGATTTTAGGAAAATTCATAGCATGAGCCAAGACAGGCTGTTTGTATGGAAAAGCCACTTGCAGTAGCTTGGATGGGCAGTATCTTGGAATCACCAGGGCCGAGTTGGACAAATGGTGTTAGCTGGGTTGATAGAGATTCAGATATGGTGGCTGCCTATTTCTGCACACTGAGAGGGGAGAGGGCTCAACAAAATAACAATGCCTTCTGCCATCACTTCTCACTTCTGTCTGGGCGAAAACTGCCCCTCCAACCCTTGCTCTGATTCAGACAATTTGTTCCTCCCTGTATGTCCCTGGATTTTTTGAGCTGTTGCCCCAGCACTGGAGTTCAGAGTGAGTGAGTCTGTGCATGGGCCCTTTAGGAGGAATGCCTGGGACTCCAGCCACTCACTGTCTCACTCAGCCACAATCTCTGCTGGTTTTCACAGCCAGAAGTCATGAGGACTTCTCTTCCTGGCACTGGAGCCCTGGGATAGTCTGGTGTGGAGCTGGGACCTCTCGCTCTTCAAGGGGGACCTCTACTGAGGTAGTGATTTTTAACTTCCCTCCTGATTTTTAACTGCCACATGTGGGTGTGGGGACCAGCCTCTTCAGAGCCTCCTCCCCTCCTATCAGTCTCCATGTGGCTTCTTCTGTATATCTTTAGTTACAGGACTTCTGTTCAGCTAGACTTCAGGTGATTCTCAATGATGTGTTCTGTGGTTTAGTTATAATTTTGATGTGGTCATGAGAGGAAGTGAGCACAATGTTTACCTATTCTGCCATCTTGACCGAAACAAACAAACAAACAAACAAACAAACAAACCTAAGCAGTATTTTTAAAGTAGCATTTATTTTTCCATTCTGCATTGAACAAGATTATGTTTAGTCCCATTGAAGAATGGACAGCATGAAGTGGTGATCAGAGTACATTGACATATAATAATTCAGACAGGAGCTAAGAAAAAGCACATTGTAGTTTATTTATCTCTGGAAAAGGGAAACACCTGCTTTCATTTAGGTTTCTCCAAATACTGGAAAGGGTTGTCAACCTTCTATTACATGCCCTAGAAGTCTCATCAATTTCAGTGTCCTTATTTACACCAAAGGAAATGGAGGCCCAGAAGAAGTGGCTGGTCTTGGATCAGAGCCTTTAGTGCTCAAGTGGAGGAGAGTGGGTTCCCGCCTCCACACTCCTAACAGAGTGGAGCCTCCTGGGATATTTTCGACCATGGCATAATTGTTAAGATCAGACTTAGCTAGAAACATTCATTTTGATGTTTTCAGAAACATTTTCTCTCAGAAAATCCTCAAAGCACTGTCACTTCCTGCAGTATCTGCTTGCTCAGATTGCTTCTCCAGGTTTCTTCCAGCCCCCTTGGTCATGATGAGGGAAGAAAGGACTGTGCATCTTTGATAATCTATTTTCTAGGCCCAATTTTGAAGCAAAGCACAAAATAATTAAAATTTTATGTGAATTGGCTCAGTCCTGCATATACACAAAATATTGCCCAGAAAGGAGACATCTGGCCTTAATAAAAGAAGAAAGGGCCTGTCATGTAAAAAAAACCCAGCTTCTCTGGTACCCACAGGTTCACCTACATTGCCACCTGGCTCAAGGGAGCACTGGTATCACACTTTCAGCCCTGGGAAGAGCAGAGACACAGTCTTCTCTGCAGAAGAAGCTGCAAGACATAGGAAAACCAAAGTTCCAGGCCAGGCTGGTCAGATGACAGAGCCACTGACCCAGTTATGAGTCCTGCCCACTGCCTAGTTGCAGACACTTACTAGATGCTCTGTTTTTGTTAGCACACAGCCTGAGCAATCAGTAGCAAAGGAGAAATGAGTAAGGATACTCTCTAATGAGCTGCCTTTAAACCTATTTAAAACTATATTTATGGGAGAAAAAGCTAAATATTTTCAAAGATGTAAGTGTAGCTAAAGAAAGGAGGCATGATCTTGATGCAAGTCAGTTTCAAAACATTTCATCTTTGTTTTAGAGGAACCTGGTATCCACCCACATATTTGCTACAAATAAAGCCTCAAGGAGAGTCATTAAATACCATGAAATAAATCTAGGACTTCAAGCCTAGAATCCAGGTGGTAATAGGTAAAGATTCATCTGCCCAAATCATTTAAGAAGTTCACTAAACATTTACAGCCCATGAAACAATGAATGTGGGCAGATGCTAGTTCATTTATAATAGTCCCATCTTTATCTTCTTCTACCTAAAGGCAAAACAGATAAATTCTACCAAAAGTTAGTATTTTCTCTAAGCAGAGGCCATTTTGTGTCAACTTCAAACTCTGTGATTCCTTCAACTAACTCACTCCTAAGTCAGTCCTTATTCTAAATGCCAAGACCCAGCAAAAAATAAATTTCTTGACTGGGTTCCCAGTACAGTGTGAGACCCAGACAAGGGCTATAATTTATAATAGTGTGACAAGTGCCCCACCAGGCCTGGACACAGTGCTGTCGGAGAATGGGGGTATGCAGGGCATACACATTGGCTTGAGGGTTCAGGGAAGGTCCCTTAAGGGTTTGTGAAAGTCCTGGTTAGAGTGAACCTCCGAGGATGAATAGGAGTGGGTACATGGAAAAGGAGAGAAAGGATGTATCGGACAGAAAAGGAACATTGAGGGGAAAGGAGCATGCCACATCTGAGGGGCTGTTTGAGAAAAAAAAAGAATGTTCAAAGAATTGAAATGATAATCCTAACTTTATAATAAAACAAAAGCATTTTGATTTGCTTTTAAAAAGTTTATTCTGGCTTCAGGGTAGGGAATAGATTAGAAACCATTAGAATTCAATGGATTAATATGGGTCCATGTGTAGAATTCAGGGATCTGCTGAATTGGAATAGGGAAAAAATACACCTGTAATTTCACTAATCTTTAACTAAAATTTACGTTCTCCAACAGCAGCATTCTTCCAATTCCTTCCTCCTGTCCTCTGCTGTTGTTGTCATACAGTTTACTTATACATGTTCTATAAACACACAATACATTGCAAATATTTTTGCTTTAGACACTCAGTGATATTTTGAAGCAATAAAAACTAGGAAAAATGAGTTTTATATTTGCATTTGTTTATGCCATTTCCAGTGTTCTTCATTTTTTTGTGTAGATCAGTGTCTGTTGGTATCATGTTTCTTCTGTCTGAAAAGTTTCTCTATCATTTGTTGAAGCTCAGGTCTGGCTGGAAATTTTTTTTCAGTTTTTATTTGTTGAAAAAGTATTTTTTTCTTTATTTTTAAAAGATACATAGAATTCTATCAAGGTTGCTATTTTCCCCATCAGCCCTTTAAAGATGTCACTCCATTGTCTTCTGAGCTGCATAGTTTCCGAAGAGATGTCTGCTGTCATTTTTGTCTATGTGCCTCTGTGTGTGGTGTGTTTTTTTCTGTCTCCAAGCCTTCCTCTTTGGCTTTCAGCAGTTTGACTATATGTCTAGATGGGTGTTTGTTTTTCTTTTTTTGCTTGTGTGTTTGTTTTTGTTATTTAACCTTCTAGGTGTTTGACAAATACTTGTTGTAAATGTCCAGGTTCCATCACTGCCCCGTTGCTTGGTTTCACATGGGGGCTAAGACTATAGGGACAGACATGTACCTGTCCCCAAGGAGCTCTACAGAGAGACAGTCAAGAGATGGTGGTGACTCAGAGTAGGGAAGTGGAGCTGAGAAGCAGACTATGGGAAGCTTAACATTCTGTGTCAATTGTTCATAATTAGGACTTTAAAAATGAAAACGGTTTCATTGAGATTGGTCAAATCTTGGTTTAAACATGTTTCCAGGGCTGACCGAGTGGCTCAGTTGGTTAAGAGCTCGCTCTAGAGTTTGAGCTCTGAGCAACAGTGGTTCGATTCCTGGCCCAAGCTGAGCAGCCGCTGAGCTGCCAACCAGTGGCAGGATGGCTCAGCTTAAAAAAAAAAAATAAAATAAACATGTTTCTAAGGATAATACATTAATATGCTGAGATTTTTCTTTACCTGCTAATGCAAAACTTGGCAGGGACTAAGTTCCTAAGTTTTTTTCTCCTTGACAGCTGGAAGAGAAGACTGAGAAAAACTTGGGAGAACCAGGCTCCACTACTGACAGCAAAGGGGCATTTAAGAAGGAGAGGGAGACACACCAGAAGCTCCTTGCTGACAGTCATGGCCTAGTCATGGACCTGCGGTGGCAGATCCATCACAATGAAAAGAACTGGAACCGGGAGAAGGTGGAACTTCTCGACCGCCTGGACAGAGATCGGCAGGAGTGGGAACAGCAAAAGAAGGAACTCTTGTGGAGAATAGAACAGGTAAGGAGGCACCCAGACACCAGAGGACAAGGAAGAGAGTAGAGACAGCTAAATTGACCTGGAAATCAGAGGATTTAGAGGGATAAAAAACACTGGGCTGCTCAGAGGTCCTTACTGTCTATACTTCAGGATGTTTCATGGTCCTCCAGAGGAAGAGGAAGAAATACTAAAATTTTTAGTATTGGAGACCTAGGCTCAGCCTTTCCATTACACAGATCTTTTCATTGCAAAGTTTATAAGTAACTTCCCTGTGTGTATCTATGGGTGGTGTGTATATGTTCAGGGGTGTGTGGGGGATAACTTTTTAAAGGAATTTAAAGACTAAACTTGAAAGATGAGTTATTTCAGGTCTTATAAAGTGATTTCTGTCAAACACAAATGAACTTTTAAGTTTGCCACTAAAGATGTGGTCACATGACTGCTCCAGCTTGAATGGAATTTTTGTCCATTAGTAAAGAAATTGCTGAATTAACTTGGAAGTCAGGCTGTTTGAACCTGCTGTGGATATTGCTGAGCTGTAACTAGATAGAACTATAGTCAGGGGAGGTAGCTGGTAGCTCATTGTCTTCAGCTAAACAAACAATTCAAAAACTCAGATGTGTTCAGGAGATGAGGGGAGTTGTTTTTGTACTTCCCAGATCATCACTCTCTGCATTGCGTCAGATTTAGCACAGTTTGCATAATTGTGGTTTTGTCTGAATGATGCACAGATTACATTTTCATATTAAATTGATGAAGGTTTAGAATTCCTCCCTGGCTGGATTTTTACATAGCATACATATATTTTATTTATTGCAACCATCACACTTATAAATTCATGAGGCCTCAAGGAAATGTATTAATCAATAAGAAACTGAGTTCAGGAAAAATAACCTAATTACTCTATTACAAATACCCATACTGCCTGCATTTATGTGGGAGCCCTTTGAAAAATGTGCTCCATTATCCCCAGACATGGTACCTGTGTTATGCAGTTACAGAGGCAAAGGTTAGTTTCTGCAAACCATAGGGGAGTGAGGGAGGGAGAATGAACTAAAAGAAACTTGGAGCCTATTGCTCAGAGAGCATTGAGAAAGAAAGAAGTTCACTACAGAGAAAGGAGCTGAAGCTCTTCCTAGGCTGGATTACACTCACACTCACACAACTGAGTCACCATATTGATATTTGATATGGCTCATTTCAAAATTCCCTAAATTCTATCAGAGGAAAGTTGGCCACTTCCTATTTGGCCTAGAAATACCAGCACTTGAGGAGAATCTTCTGTATTAAATACCCTGTGTGCCTGTGATCAGTTGTTCAGTGGACATTGTAGGGGCAAAGCATTATGTGTTCTTATGAAATGGTCACAGATTTATCATATCCAACTTTAGCTAACCAGTATCACAGTATCACAATAACTCTAGGCACCTTGTTACCAGGGAAGTTCCCTCTTGGCCTTCCCGCCAGGATCTCTCACTTTGTCTCCTTCCCATACCCCAGCAAGGCCATCACGATCTGTACCCTTCTGGGTCCCCTTTGCCTGTTAGCCGTAGGCTTGTTGGTCTTGTCACAACTTCATATTGGAAGTCACACCTTGGATATAAATTAAGCAAGTCCTTTAGGGTTCTTTTGTTTTTTACTTTTGAAAATGAGGAAATTCTAGTAAAGAGAAAATTGGTAAGACATCCGAAGATACTCATCTTTTGAAGAGTTAATGACAGGGATGAGCAGTTGCCTCCATAATTTGGAAAGAGAAGAGGGGAAAGGAGCTGAACCCCATTTCTACAACAATTCTACCAAGCTGATAGCTCCAGAATTTAGTCCTCAAGGTTAACATCTTTGAGCATAATGAGTTCCGGGCATTCATCTGTTCCTGAAATCTGTGTGTGTGGATCCCATAGGCTTTGTACAATGATTTCACTGCTGTTTTTAGAAGAGGGTTTGTTGCCAGTGAATGCTGCTTTAGATATGTAATGGTGGCTTTCAAAAATAAACCTGGCCTTTTCCTCCAAAATATTCAAGGTTTTCAAAGAGGATTTTATAAATCTCAGTGCCCAATCCTGAAAATTAGGTAAAGTAGTTTATAGGCATTTTTTGTGAAAGAGGAAATTGGCTAAAGTGTGTATGTGTGTATGTAGAGATTTGGTTTATCAGTTACTGGGTTGCTCATTTAACTTTTAGTTACACATTCCACAGGTAAACAACAATTATAGGTGAACATTCTTAATAATTTATGCTCTCAATATTTGACTACTTGGTGAGCCATATAACCTTGACTATGATAACCTAATACAGATGGTGAAAGAAGTAACACTAAATTCATTTGCCACTTTCAGAACACATGCTTCATACTTGTCTGGTGTCGTTGAATTCCTGCACAATTTCTGTGCCACATGAGGCATTTTATATGATGAATGACTGTGGGAGTGTGGGTAAGGTCATATAACACATATCATCTATCTTATCAGCATCTCTTGTCTCAATCCAAATTTGATTGGGTCATAGTTAACTTTTATGGCGTCACACTACATTTCTCCTTAGAATTGTTAAATTCCCAGTTAACATATAGATGATAGGACTTGCAGCTCTGAAGGGCTGAAAGTTCATGTGTCATTCCGTTCTCCTTCCAGTAACTTCCTTAGATCTGTTGCCTCTACTACACAAAGGCCATTCTTTTAAAACCTGTTCACAAAGTGCCCTTTTTTCTTTTGACCAGTTCAGATAAGGTGACACTCTTGAGGGTTTATTGTTTCCTGTGTTATTTGAAATGCAAATCATTTAAATTTTCTGTTTGCATTACAGGTTGTTCTACTGCAGGATTCTAAGTACAGTAATTGCTGATGCCTGGTTTGAAATGACTCTCCTAGGAAACCCTATCCTTTTAAGGACCCATTATTCTATTACAACACCCCAGAGGCATCTTAGCAGTAGATACCTCCAGCTAAAATCCTTCCAGTTCATTTTTAGGAAACCTAACACTTACCAGCTTTAGTGTACATTGCTCCTGGCTGTGGGGGTTTATTTTTGAAATCCCACTTTCACTGAGATAGAACCTGCTTGTTCATCACTCTCCTCTTTGATCATTCTTCCCCCTCTTCACACACACCCTCAGTGTACATTTACAGCTTCAAATGTGATTTTCGCATTTTAATTCCTTGCCCAAAATAACTTGGAGATGATCATGTGTTGAAACTAAATTGTGCTGACATGCATTAGATGAACATAATAAAAAACTTTTCTTTTTATTTTTTATTTTTAAAGAATACATTTAGCATCTTTAAGAGAACTGAAGAACTGTCATGGGGAGGGCGGAGCTAAAACCCAAAGTGACTTGCTTGTTCCCTAATTCAACTGTGATCCTGTCTCAAACTCTAACATTGAAGCTCTGGCTGCTTGAATCTCCAGCTTTCTCGTAAAATGAAGATAATACTCTGTTACTTTGGTTCCACCATCTCAGAAATTGCTAAAATATGAGTTAGTTTTTTATCCCCATTATTTCACATGGCTTTGTTCCTGATTCACAGACTACACTTATATCCAGTTTGTGAATGAAGATTTAAATTGGGACACAAAGGTATAGTTTATGAAAGATGCTTTGTTAAACAATAAATTAGTATGCTTCCAAGGGAGTTTTAGAACTTCCTGACACCGTCCCAGCACTTAAGTATTAAAAATCTTCCTTCTGCTACCCCTTCAGGGCAAACCCAAATGTCACTTTAGTCATTCGATAATTTACTTATTCAAAAGAGGAGCCGATGTGTAGAGTGCATGAACATGTCATCCAATGAAGAGCCCATTAAGGATATGTAGGTGCAAATATGCTCAGCTCTGTCTCTCAACTGTGCTTTCTGTGCATATTTTGATAAGGAGGCAGTGAGGTAAGCTTGGGAGACCTAGGGAAAGCCATCCACTTGAGCTTCTCTCACACCATTTTCCTGTCTGTCCATTGGCTCCCTACCTGAAGGGCCTCCATGTGGTTCTATGCTGTAAATAGACAAGGTGGTTATCAGTGTGCCGCAGTCCTGGAATCAGTCAGTGGTGGTTTCACTGACAAACAGTGAGCTTTACAATGGGCCCAGCCTAGAAGAGAGACATGTTATCCCCATTTACAGGTGAGGAGACTGAGCTGAGAAGAGTGCCCTAACTTTACACCTGCTAGCAAGCCAGCAAGCTGTGAAACAATGGTTCTAGTTCAGGTCTTCTTAACTCCAGGTGGTCCTGTGTTTTCCCCCAGCGCTTCTTGAGCTAACCAAGTCAAGCCAAAAAAAAAAAAAATATATATATATATACATATATATATATATATATGTATATATATATGTATATGAATCAATGTTTATGTTTGTTTGTTTTTGTTTTCAGTCATATCAGATCTTTAATTACGTTTATAGTAAAGTTTTATACATCCCAAGCAAAGTATAAGTTGTTTTTGACAACCGGTGATTATAACCCAGTTTGATTACTCAGGTTAGACATAGGGCCGATTCCACATAATTTGGAATTAGTACTCTGTTATTATTACAAAACTCTGCTGGTTAGGAAAATTAAATTCACCCTTAGAAGTTTGCTGTCACTAATGGTTTTCCATTGAGTGTTCCTTAAGTTATGAAGGTAATTACAAAAGAGAGTTCTAAATATGTCATTTAACAATGTATAGTTTCCTGTGAGTACAGTACCCAAAATTACATACAATAACATAGATTTTCGTCAGAAGGAGTTGGCTTGTGTGTGGTTAATACAGATTTTCAGTCCAGATAAAATTATAATTAAAAAATCCACATTTCTAATGTTGGGTTACATTTTGAAATTAAAGTCAGAATTTTAAGAACGTTTACTTCTTTGAGATGTGAGCTGTGGAGTTATAGATGGATCCATCTATAATTCCAAATCGTGGAGAAACCATGGTCTTAGGAGAGTAACAGAAAAAAATGGTTTTCATTTTTAAAACCCTGAAGTTACAGAAAGAAAACAGTCCCCCGAGAGGTGGCAGTTTCCTCTGTGATCAAGAAGAAGACAATATCCGCCCCTTTGCCCCCCCTGGAAGTCCCCGAGTGCTCTGTCCAGTGGGGATGTGGCCCTGTGCAGACACAGACTCCACCCCGTTTGAAGATCGACCGCTGTCCAAGCTGAAGGAATCGGACAGGTGCTCAGCCCGGGAGAACCTCTACTTGGACGCCCTGTCCCTGGATGATGAGCCCGAGGAGCCTCCGGCCCATGGACCCCAGAGAGAGTTCAGGAACTGCCTTCCCGAGGTCGGCTTGGGTTTTGGGGTTCAGTTAATTACTACAGGACCAGTGGGTTGTTGGGAAACCTAGCCATGTGTCTGGTAGGCTCTAGGGCTGGCGTATAGCAGCCTCTGTGTTGAGTAAAAATGAAACTTTCACAATGCCAAGAGCTTTGCTTGGTGGTCTGACCCAAAACTCCTAGCATGTGCTGTAGTCAGTTTCACTTTGCCAACTTGCCTTGGGTTTGGAAATACAGGGCTCATGTCCTATGTAAACAGAAAGGTCTCTCGAATGGGCATGTCCAGTGAAACACTGTAGGAAACATCATTCTAGGAAGTGTAGATCTTCAGCTTTTTAAAAAACCATAGCACAGTCTTCTCTGACCGTAGAAAACTTACTAATAACAACAGAAAAATCAGTTTTATAGAAAGTACCTCACATTTGCAAGTAACAAATGCCACCAAACAATGACATACCATAAATATCTCATTCTGTGAAAAGGAAAAAACCCAAGATGTAGAAACCGTATGTAAATTAGATCATCAAATAGGTGAGCCAAACTCTGTGCTGAAATTTCCATGGCACAGCATCAGGTTTTTCTGGTTATGTCCTTTCTAAAAGCAGGTTTTAAAAATTGATTTTAAGAATAATTACCTGTGAGACAGTTCAACAGTTGTTATACCTGTCATTTAACCTGTCCCGAGTACTTAATAGACTTAGAAGAGTTCACGTCAAATAGTGTTGTTGAAATGTGGGGAAATTATACTTCAGTCATGTGCCAGCAAGGTCAGGTGCCCTCTCTTCAGCAATATGTACCCAGTCGATGCAACATTGCCAATATGCTGCCCTGTTTGATCTATTGGCAATCTCACATGATTTAGTTTCACAGCAGAGAGAAGGCAGCTAGGGATGGGGAGACTATCAGTGTCAGCTCTGCTGTGGCCTGGACCCCACAATGATTTGCATGGCAGAGACTCGGGCCATGCTCACTAAGTGGAAGCTCACCAGGCTGTTTACTGTACTGATGAATACATTTCTCTTACCATCGAGGACTTGCAAGGATCCTCGCGCCTTCTTCAAGACCATGTCAGCATGTGGGTGTTCTCTCAAGACAACCTGTGTTCATGCTGTTCTCTGCCAGCTTAGCTGTCATTCTTCTTAAGCAGAAGTCCCTGTAACTTCATCTCTGATTCGAAGTGGTAATGTTTAAAACCAAGAAAGCGCGCAAGCCTAAGGATGTCACACCAACCTCTATAAGTGAGGCTTAGACCAAGGGACATCAGTCTGCTAGCTCACGCTGTCACCCTCATCTTTCCTTCCCCCTCTTCCCTCCCCCTTCCCCCACACCACACACACACACACACACACACACACACACACACACACACATAGACAACCAGGTCATTATAAAGCCAGGTTTGAAATTCATGTAGTCAGCAAGGTCCTTTGAAGAAGCACAGGAGAGCCACTTCTTCGATGACAAAGTTTATAGCAGGTTTTTCTCATTCATGTGGGATCCTCCCTGGACTGCAGAAGCTCTAACCCCTCATCACACTGTGGATTCTGGTTTTATTATTGTACTTCAAAGGGCTGAAGGGCAGCACTCCCAACCAAAATTCAGCTCTGGGTACATTTTTAATGGTGTTTTCCCAGGGCAGGAGAGCAAAACAAATCACTTAGCACACTTAAGGCTCCATAGGCAACCAATATTAACTGATTCAGACAAACTTATTTCTTCTTTATAGGAAGAAGAAAATCACAAGGGAAATCTTCAAAGGTAAGTAGGATTGATGAAAACAATAGTAGACAACTGAAATAAAATCCTTTTGGTCTTAAAATTCCAGCTTGTCATTGTGGTCTATTTTAACACTCTTCACATGACTTCTTCAAATAAGACTTCTGAATAAGTAGTTGCTTTATTATTTTTATTTCAAAACTATGGTATTTTCCATAGTTAGCAACAAAAAGGCCAGAGATGTGCAGTGTATTAGTGTTAGGGTAAGAACTTTGCAGTTGTAGTTGTGTGTTGTGTATATAAAGGAAAGATTGTCTTAAATGGAATTTTGGTTTTTGAAAAGTCCATGGAAACCCCTCTCTTCTAACTTAAAGTCTGAAAAAAACTTCCCTTTGATAGGCTGTGAGACATTTTATATACTGTACATTTAAAAACTCTACTAGTAGGGATTTATTAAAATATTTCCCAGAAACAATCCTTGAAGTAGATGTAAAGTACTTGATGTTGTTGATATTATTTAGTAATCATATATTTTAGGTCATCTGTATGATGGGACATTTTGTAAAGAGACACATATAAACAAATTTATTTAAATTTAAACATTAAAAATGCACAACTGAGAGGTAAGTACAGAGATTTCCCATACCCGCCTCCCCCCAACCCACACACAGCCTTTTTTCTTTATAGATGAATATGTACCATTTCCGCTACATACGTAAAATTTCTCCTTTGGGCCATTTGATATTTTCAGATCTCCTCATCCCTGGTTTTTCTATGAACTTCGAGTCCATGGATTACCCTCTCCTGCCCATTTTGCCCTGTATCAGATTCATCCAAGACCTAGAATTGCATATGGTATGTTTCTGTCCTTGAAGACCTGTCTTGTCTGGTCATTCTCAGACTGTACAGGTCAGCACTTGAGAGCTCAGGCTCAAGAGCCAAATAGTCTGGGTACAAATCCACTTTTGCCCCTCACTAGCCATGTGACTATGGGTAAGTTATGTAACTGATTTGTGCCTCAGTTTCCTCATCTGTAAACAGGAGGTATTTAGATTTTTTTTTTACAGCTTACATATGTTAATACACATAAAGCAATGACTGCACAGAATAAGCAGTAAGCAAAGCTTAGCTATCATTATATCCTCCACTTTTCTTCCTTTCTTAGCAGAGCTCCTCCTTGCTCTGTAGCTTTTTATTAATTGCTTCTGTTAACTTCAAAAGTAATCCATGTTTGTAAAATTTAAACAATATCAAAATGTCCAAAGTAAGAAAGTACATGTGTCCTCCCCATCGTTCCCTTTTCCCTCTAGCTTCTAGCAGTTTCGTGTGCTCCCTCCCTACTTTCTTATATGCACCTTGATGTATCTGCACACGTTTCAAGTGCTTCCTGATTTTTGTAGTTTTGTTTCACTTTGGATGCTGCTAAGGTTGATGCGTTTCCTTTCTCTGTCCTCACTCTGTTCCACGATATCCATCCAAGCTCCAAAGGCAAAAGTCCCTACACAGATGCCATTGATTTAACTCTGTGAGTAGGTCCTCTGTGAGCAGAAGCCAGGGTTAGATGAGCTTCGTCCAAACAGTGTGGCAGGCTCAGGGCTTCGGTATCTGCAGGACACTTCCAGCCCCCAGTAAACAGTGTTGTGAAGCTCATTATTAATTCAGCAAATCCTTGACTGGATCAGAGACAAGAAGAGGAAAAATCACTTTTGCTGGAAAGCTTAAAACCTAGCAACAAATCAACCCATGCATTTATTTACAGCACTGGTTATAGCCAGCTTTCTGTTATTCAGGTGACCATTGGACAGTTTGCAGATTATTTCTGACAACAACAACAAAAATACCACTGACTTTAGCCTCTAGTGAGAAATAACAAAGTGGAATGCCCAACAGTGGCATTTGTAGCCTGCTCTTTTACCCCACTGTGACAACCACAAGAGGATGTGCACTGGGGTGAGGGCAAAGACACCTCAAGCTTTGCTGGTTCTGTGGTACACAGACCCCAATTCTATGATGGAGTGGTCCATGGACTCTGTCTGGGACCCCTTCAGTAGGGCCTGGCTGGTCTAGAACCCTAGGTATTCAAGCCTGCGTTTGGGGGTGGGCAGATATTAATATGTCCTATGAGAAAGTGGTCTAGTTGCAGACAGTGAGTCTGCATACACTTCACCTCCTCAACACCCTACCTGGAGGGATTCCAGGCCAGAGGATCCAGGGCCTGAGCCGCCAGGCATGGCTAGCTCCAAGCCTCCTTCCTGGCCACCGCTTCTTTGCCCCAGGTGGGTTGACAAGCTGCCTGCGCACTCCAGTAACCCACTGTTTTAGCATGTCAAAATCCCCAGCCTGCCCAACCCTACAGGAGGCAGTCAGTAAATTCATGTCAAATAGAAATATATCAAATTAAAGTGCTAATCTATTGAGGAATCTACATCCAAATCTACGTCTATCAGGCAGCAGCTTATCAAAACGGGCTGTTGCTTTAGTTCATCCATCATCACCCTTCATTGTGTGCATGTGTGCTGCAGACATCTTTCTCTTGTCCAGGAATATAGGAGGAGCAAGAGTAAAGAAAAAGCTTGACTATAAAGGAGGGACCAGAGAGGGAAGGGAAAAGCCGAGCCCTGTTGGTGGATTTGGGCAGGGCCAGATGGAATTGAAGGCACCGGTCAGTAGATGGAGAGGTCAGGCCACAGACAGGCTTCCCTTCTTCCTGTGGAGCACCATAGGCTAAAATGAAACCATCCAAAGTGGGTTTGGAGCTTAGCTATGACTGCCCAGTAATCCCACCCTTCCACTTGTTCCCACAGTGTTTGAGGGTTGGTTGTACTACATTCTGACCAATACAAGCTCCTGGAACAATTCTAGAGCAATGAAAAATCCAATAAACATCCACAGGGTCAGTTCAGGAGTAGAGAACATCAAGCAACTGGAAAGTGGTCTAATAGTTCAGGTGGATACTGACATATATAGACACTTCTTGTGCGGGCAGGACACATGTGCTACACTGGGTTAAGGGTTCACAGGTCAGCGGACTCCATATTTAGCGGGCAGCTAACACTGTTTTCTCTCCCACTTTTCCCAGGGCGGTGTCTGTGTCTTCCATGTCTGAGTTTCAGCGCTTGATGGACGTCTCTCCCTTCCTGCCGGAGAAAGGCCTACCTGCTGCCAGCAGCAAGGAGGACGTCACTCCACCCCTGTCTCCTGACGACCTGAAGTACATTGAAGAATACAATGGCAAGAGCTGGGATGAGAAGCCCCCAGGCTCCTGGGCAGACAGGACCGAGGTGGGGCGGGCAGGGAGCAATGCCAGCACCGATCCTTTCCCTGACTCCTCCTGGTACCTCACCACGAGCATCACCATGACCACGGACACCATGACCAGCCCAGAGCACTGCCAGAAACAGCCCCTGCGGAGCCACGTCCGTAGTGAGCTGTCAGGGGTGCGGGTGATGCACAGCCCACCTGCGATCCGCAGGCTGGACAGCATCATGGTGGCGGGTGATGAGGGCTCAGGTTGCCCAGAACCCGAGGGCCCGTTTCCTGCAAGCAGAGCCAGAGGAGGCACAGGAGACACAAAAGGGGGCCCCTCAGAACACATGCTTAGCAGGTGGCCTTGTGGCCCCTCCAGGCACCCCCAAGACTATGGGGAGGGAGGGCTGCACCCCCTCAATAGTGCTCTATGCACCCCCCTGGGTTTCACCTCCCCACTGCACAGCCTGGAGTTGTCCAAGAACATGAGTGATGACATGAAGGAGGTGGCCTTTTCCGTCAGGAATGCCATCTGCTCCAGTTCCCCTGGATCCGTGGTCAAGGACATGGCATGCCAGACCAATGGGTCCCGGACGACTGGGACACAGACTGCTCAGACTATCAGCATCGGCATGCAGACCGAAGCCTTGCGTAGCAGTGCCATCACCAGCAGCCCCCACAAGTGTCTCACACCGAAGGCAGGGGGTGGTGCCACACCCGCATCATCTCCATCCCGCGGCCTTAGGAGCAGGCAGGTGGCCCCCGCCATTGAGAAGGTGCAGGCCAAGTTTGAACGCACATGCTGCTCCCCTAAGTACGGGTCTCCCAAGCTGCAAAGGAAACCCCTCCCCAAAGCTGACCAGCCAAATAACAGGACCTCACCAGGGCTGGCCCAGAAGGGGTGCAGCGAGTCGGCCTGGGCCCGCTCCACCACCACACGGGAGAGCCCTGTGCACACCGCCATCAATGACGGCCTCTCCAGCCTCTTTAACATCATTGACCACAGCCCCGTGGTGCAGGACCCCTTCCAGAAGGGGACACGGGCTGGGAGTCGGTCTCGCTGGGCAGAACCCCAGCTGGAGCTGGGCCCAAGCCAGGACACCGGCCCCAGTTCCCGGGTGCAGTCACCCAGCCCCATTGAGGTTGCCTCAGAGACATGTAGGGAAGAAGGGGGAGAGGACACGCCTGTGAGGCAGGACTTATCTGCTCCCCCTGGCTACACGCTCACCGAGAATGTAGCCCGGATCCTCAACAAGAAGCTGTTGGAGCATGCCTTAAAAGAGGAGAGGAGGCAGGCCCCCCAGGGCCTCCCAAGTCTCAACAGTGACAGCCACATGGGAGAAAAAGCCAAAGCTGAATCAGGGTCCATTGAGGTAATGAAGGTTGCGTATTCCACACCCTTACTCTCCAGCTCCTCCATTTAAATTTTGGGAAAACAGGTTTGAACCTGGGATTGTGTTAGGTCATTTGATTTCAAGAATCCTGGTCCATAATATGTGAGCTGGGGAGATACTGGGTTTATAGGAGAATGGATTAGGTAGAAACACAAACCTCTGGTTTAAGTGATCGATGCTCATATGTTTATCTGAGCTTTTCATCCAGGGTCATAATTTGCCCTTTCTGGATGAATTTATGTCCTAGGAATGTATATGTGAAGTATGTGAGAGTCGTGTCAGGGCTTTCTGCATGCTCCAGATCTTTTTATGTGACGATACAAGAGGTATACTAGAGAGGGTTTTGAGAGTATGGATTCTAGAACCTCTCTCATGAGGAACTACAAGAACAGCTGGATTCCAGTGTTGACTTCAGTGCAAAGTAGTAGTCTTACGTTTCACAAATCACGCACCATCTCTGTGTCAATGAGTCCCCCTAGCAATAAAACCAGTGAGGCAAATAGATGCAATCAAAATCTTGCCTTCATACAATGTGGTTATTATTTCCCTCACACATCACATATTATTACATTGTGTATGACCTCACATATAATATTGTTATTATGTGATTATTACTATATTCCCCTTACCATTATTCTCAAATCAGTCAACCTTGAACTCTGTTCTGATACATATCCACACGTGGTATATTTGTACCATTCCACTTTAAAAGACAATCCCCATTTCCACTTCAAGAATGAGCAAAAAAGCCCAGTGACAATGTGGTGAAAGAAATGGTGATGCTGGCCTCAGAGTTCACATGATGCTGAGGACACAGTCCCCAGCCAGCCCTTGGCCAGTCACTGTTCGGGAGTGATCCCACATGTAGACTTAAGAAAGAGCCCTGACCCACCAGTAGCCCAGATGGACAAAGTCCACACCAGTGGGAACCAGACACCCACAAGCATTCATTCTCCAGGCAGAGCAGCCCAAGCAGATGGCAAAGGTCGGAGAAAAGGAGGAGTGCTCCCTGAGCTGCCGGCTGCTCGGGCTTCACAGGTGAGAGGAGGAGGAAGATGTATTGGGTTGTCAGAAAAGTCATGATGTATTTTTTCTATGTTTTTCGTTGCAAAAATGCGTCATGACTTCTGAAAACCCAATAATTCCACCTTCTGCACCACATTTCCCACAGGGGGAGCAGTGAGAGCCAGGTTCCCAGTCTAACCCACCAAGAGTATTTCATTCAAAATACAGAGTTTAAATCTGAAATACCTCACACCATGTGAAGTTGCCAGTGGCCTACAGAAGCCTCGATGCCATGTGGTTCAACCTAACTTGGCAGTATATGGCCCACATGTTCTGTGACTCCGTGATTGAGTGGTTTACATGCTCCAAGAAGGACAAATACCATGGTTGAGTGTTCTCAGGTGACAGATGGGCTCTTCTGTAGGCTTCTGTTATGCCCATCCCTCAGGAGCCCACAGGTAAGTGAGTTCTGTGGCAGACAGTCTATTTGTGTGAATGTCCTGCCTTTCCAGGGCTCTGGAGCAATCATCTGAAATCAGGGCTTGGTCCCAAAGCATTAAGTGGCTGTGTTTGTAGTGCCCATTTATATTAGAGACTAAATAGGAATTAACTTTTAAGAACCAAAAAATGCTTTGAGTTACTAACAGTAAATGCTCCAAGCAATCTATGGGGATATAAAGAAAATGGTTTAATGACTGAATCACAAGTCTAAGGCATGAAAATGGTTTCATCAGTACAAAGCTGTACACTGCCCCCCTTGGTCCTTTCTAAAGTGTCTATTTAGATTTTCTTACTCGGTGTGTTTGTTACCATGAGAGCTGATTGGCGACTTTGAAGAAAGCACAGCACAGTTTTAGGGGTTCAGAACCTGCATGGAGCACTCCCTGGCACTGTTTAAATGTTGTGGGGGGTTTTTCCCCTTTTTCTGATGGATCTGCTTGCTCTAGACTCCCATGGCATTGTTCCTTGTTTAATTGACTTACTGTATTAGGCCCATTGGAGAGCCCTTCTCATCACTCCGTAAGTGATGTTGTAGTTCTAGGTTTTCATTCCAAAGTCACCAGAACTAACTCTGATGTCCCAACCTGCTCTGAGTACCCTGTGTGGCCTCTAGCCCTGAACGTTCACTGGGACATCTAGACATAGGTGACACAGGGATCCTGACGAGGACTGTGCATTACAGAAAGTACCCCTTTCTCCCCTCACTCTTACCCCACAAGCTACTTATTCATTTTCTCTTGAAGCCATAGCACTAATGCAGCAATGCAGAGAGAAGCTGTAAGGAGTTCTGGTGTGAAGAAAATGAGAATGATCTGGAAATGTAATGCTATTCTTCCCTCCCATGTCTGGGTGGAAATTGAGAGGGGAAGTTTTTGGTATGAGCAGTGGTTGTTTTGATCATTGTAACTAAAACAAACCTGGCTGTTCTATGCTCTCTGTTTCAAATACAAGAGTCCGATGACTTCCATCTCTCATTGCGCCAAAGGGTGTTTGAAATGTTAAAAACCAAAGGGCAACTCAGGGAAGAATAGAAACCGGAAGGGGGAGGCCTGTTGCTGTTCTGCAGTGAGGGTCCCTCCTTCCTCTGGACCGAGGCAGAAGAGAGGTCTGTGAGCACGTGCCACTTCTGTGGGACCCCACACCTCTGATAGCTGTCCCTGGAGCTGGCACCCTGCTTGTAGACGTTAAGCCTTTACTGTTTTTCTTTTTTAAAAAAATACTTTCCAACCTACTTGATTTTCTTTTCTTTCTGTCTGTTCTGTACAGAACCAAACTGTCTTACTAACTGCCCCCTGGGGACTCTAGTCCTGCCTGCCTCACGCCGTAAGTGCTTTCTTTCTTGTTTCCAGACTGTCTGAAGAGGTCATTTGTGTAACTTGGGTTTGGCATCTGACACCCAGAAACAAGGCAGAATCGTCCCAGGTAGATTTGCTCTCTAGATGCAGCTGCCAGCGCTGGTCCAGGGGAAGCCTGGATAATCCCATTTGCCGACTGCTGACTTCTTGGTGCAAAGAAAGGCTTTCAGGTTATAGAGATCCTGCTGAAACTTCTGCTCTCTTGTGCAGTTTGTAGCCCATATGCTTTCAGAGGGGTAAAGGGACATTGACTGGAGAGGGGACTGTCTCTGGCACAGACTTCTAGCCTGTGGGGGTCTCTGAGCCAAGCATTTTGCCAGTCAGCCTGGACCTGCTACCTGTATTTGGTAGCATGTATGCACTACCACATGCTGTAATGAGGTGTGACCATAATGCCATAAGGCTTCTCTCTTTTTTCTAACCACACCAGAAGGAATAAAAGCAAATGCATCTTGTCCTTCCAAGCACCGTAGGTGACCTAGTAGGTGCTCAATAAATATTTGTTGATTGAATAAACAACAAAGTCATTCCTGCTCCAAAATATATTCTTACAGAATTGCCTTCAGAACCTCAATCAAGGCATATGAGAAAATACCAACCTTGTTTTTGATAAGGATATTGTCAACCACCCACCTCATCCACTGGTCTTAACTCAAAGTGCTGAGTACCAAAATACAATTGTCTCTCAAAGACTAAAGAGGTGCTCCAATGATCAAACGCCCACATAGCACACTGCAGTGGCTTGTCAGGAAAGGACAGCATCATTTGCTTATATGTGCTGGTGTGTTACTAAAGAGAAAGTTCATTCCCTTGAACTCATGGTCTCAACATTTCTTCCTAGAGGAGACAAATAGATGCTAGTGAAGAGGTGGCACAAAACTAATGGAAAGCCCATTCTCATCCAGCATCAGCCAGATGGAAATGGGCTGTATGGTGTAAGATAGACATATAGCAGCAGCCTCAGCAGCGCGCACAGGCACACAGACACACACACACCTCACAATACCAGGAGCAGTGACACCAAAAGACACAAAACAGCAGATATCCCAAACCATATGTCCCCTCATACCCTGGGCTGAGGTGAGGTGAGGACAGAGCTCACCCCTATGATAGTTCACATTTCAGCTATTTCAAATGCTGATGGTCTTTTCACAGGTGAGGTGCCCCTGGCTGTCACGGTTCTCAAAAGCATAAATGCTTTGCTGATGAAGCCTTCCCTGTTGTCATATAAAGTGTCAACCACAAAAGAGGCAGGGAACTTTAAGAAGTAGACTGCAGTGTTAGTGCTCTTTTTCTGCTGACTACAGGGAGACAACCACCTCACTCCATCACTCTTCAGAAACACTGCGTGTTCTGCCTTCCATCTTCCTTCCTGGTCACATTGTCTGCCATACTGTCTTTCAACACAGCCGGCTGTCTCTTCCCTGCCGTTGCTTCCCTGCTCCTCTGACTAAATGTTCCTCATTCTGGTCTTTGCAGTTGCTTGTCACCTCTCTTTAAGTCCTCTGACTTACTTCCTGACTGGCTCTGAGGATCTTTGCTCTGTGTCATCCTTCATTGCAGTGGTTTACCATCTCAGCTTTTTGTTGTCTGAGTGTCATTTGGGCAGTTCCACCCTGTGGAAATCATCATTCCTCATACCACAGCTTTTCACATTTCTCTGTACCAGCAAATTCCAGGTTTGAGTGTCCTTTTTTTTCTATTGTGCAGACTGAGGACAAGTAGTTCAACATTCATTCAAACCAAAAAAACGAGCAGTTGCCCTTGAGAAGTATCACAGATGATTTGCATCACGGTTGAGTGTGTCTTGCATTATCTGTTCTCGGAAGGTGTGGGATGCCTACAACACAAAAGCACAAGTGCACTCTGATTCCACTTTTTAAAACGCTGCTGCAAGGAGAAGTCATTAAAGAAAATGAGACCTAAATTAAAATTTCTGCCTGCAGCATTTTTTCCATGTTGTGGGAGTTTGTTTAACCCACTGCCGGTCATTTTGGAATAAACAGTAGCAGAGTTTGTTTTAAGGTGAATCTCGTTGCTAATATAGCTGGATGAAATCCTAAATCTCTTCATGCCCTCAACAGACGAAGGCATAGGGAGACTGACCTCTTAGGAACAGCCACTGTTGCTAAGTGCAGGAGGGCCAAAATGACAGGATCAGCTGGGTCAGAATATAGCCACGTGGACTGTGGAGGCCACATGTGGCCTGCGGCTCTCTCCACTCTGTGTATGCTCCAGCCCAGTTCTGAAGGTGCTCTGTAAACACACCCATCTCATGCCATTGCTGCTTTTTTTCCTAATTTGAAAATTTCACATTACTGTCGTCACTGATCATTCATGTTGAATTCTTTACTTACCATTTTAAGTTATTCTCCATGAGCAGAATATGAATTAACATTCATAATTTGTTGCCCCTGGTCTATGGCATTTAACTTGAGTCTGTCGAGAAGTATGTTTGGGGTATATCATCCCCTAGAGGAACTGACAGTCTGAGTAACCCTGTCTTTCTCTTTCTGGCTTTGAAGGAACTACCTTGTTCCGCACTAGCTCCATCCCTAGAACCCTGCTTCTCCAGGCCCGAGAGACCAGCAAACCGTCGCCCTCCATCCCGTTGGGCCCCATATTCCCCCACTGCCTCACCGGTTCAGTCACTCAGAGACCCGACCTCCTTGGAGGAGCTCGGCGATGAAGAGCCGCCTGGGGAGAAGCTACACCTGTGACATGATGCAAGCTTGCATGGATTATCACGGAATAATTCACTGTAATTTGCATAAGCACACCATCATCATCAACCACACTCCACTCATAAGGAGAGATCTGGTTTTCCCAAGGTCAAAGAATGTTTTTAAAAAAAACACAGCTGCTGAATGTTCAACCTGTGAACCTGAGATGTTTCTAGAATGAAACAGTAAATGTGCCTGTAATAACTTAATTTTTTTCATAGCTCAGAAAACTATTTTTGTCTCCATCTTTTTTACACACAATATATTAAACAAAAAAGGTAAATAAGATATAAATAAATTAAAAAAATAAAAGTTTTAAAGATGTACATTTTAAGAGATTCTGAACACCCTCTCAATACTGACTGCCTCTCTGTTAAATTTGCACTGTTACGTTTTAGTTTGGTTTATTTCCATGTTGCATTAGAGTGTTTTAAGTTAATTTTATTTTGTCAGTGTTTTTGGTTTTTAAGAATTTTTGAAATGCTTCAGACTGTCTGATTCATGAACTTTCTATAGTGAAAAAGCCACGAAGCCAGTAGACAAGACAGATATCCTGTATACTGAAGGGGATACATGTCAGCATTTTGGAAAAGGTAGAGAGTCCTTAGCTGGGCTTACCAAATTCTCTGTATAATCCACATATTCTACTCTACTTGCACGTCTTCAGGTTCGAAGCACTGGGGTGCATGTACATACTGCTATTGTGGTCTTATCATCACCTAAGTGTGAGTCTTCTGTCCCACTGTGATACATTGTGAAATCACTTGTACTGTATTTTTGTTGTCTTCTTGCATTGATGATATAACAGCAATGACATTTTTAAATTGTTGAAAGATTAACTGGCAATATGCAGTGTTTACTCAAAATTTTCTGTTTAAGGAAAAATACTACAAAAAGTCATGAGGATACCAAATTGAAACGGAGTCTGTATGAGACGATGATGAAGTAGAAATAAAGCCTTTACAAAATGGCAGTCTGTTCCTGCATCTCGTGTTTCACACGCCCTCCATCTTTTCCTAAGGGCTTAAGTGGAAAGTTGCCGGGGAAGGTGGGAAAGGGGAGATCTTTAAAAAAGCAGCAGCTGCTAACATATCTAATCGGGAATGCACTGCGAATGCATGACTACATTGCAGTTTCATTGTACTCCCTAAGAGTGTCCTGGGATAGATAAAAAAGCAACTTCGTATTGAAAAAGACAAAACTGGTGGTGGGGGTGTAAGGAAACTGGCTATCCACAAATAAAAATATGCCCAGCCTCTCCCTCTCCCTTCCTTGGGAAAGTGGGAGTGGCCAGTAACTTCAGAACAGACATTTCACTCCCTGATACTGAGATATATTTGATAGAATATGAGTCTGTAAAGATGTGATGCTGCCAAGAGTACATGAAGAACTACTTCAGGCTGAACTTCTAGTTTTAATGTTTCATTAATTCAATAATTTTCTTATCTAGATGGGCTAATGGAATAAGTTCTATTCCTTGCATTACCACAGTTTCATCTTTAAATATTTCCCAAGAAGTGGAAAGTAACTAGGATATAGAGACATTGGAACCCTGGTGCACCATTGGTGGTAATGTAGAATGGTGCCACTGCTGTGGAAAACATGATGGTTTCTTAAAAAGTTAAACAGAATTATCATATAATACAGCAGTTCCATTTCTGGGTTATAGGCCTAGGGGAACTAAAAGCTGGGACTTGAACATATATTTGTACACCCATGTTCATGACAACATTATTTACTGTAGAGTGGAATCAACCACAGTGTCCATCAGTGGATGGATGGATAAACAAAATGTGGTCTGTCCATACACTGGAATGTTATTCAGCTCTAGAAAAAAAGGAGATTCTGATACATGCTACAACATGGATGAACCTTGAGAACATTATGCTAAGTAAAATAAGCCAGTCACAAAAATAACAATATTGTGAAATTCCACTTATATAAGGTACCCACAGTAGTCAAATTCATAGATACAAAAAGTAAAATAATGATTACCAGGAGGTGGGGAGAAGGAAGAATGGGGTACAGAGTTTCTGTTTGAGATGATGAAAAAGTTTTAGAAATGGATAATGGTGGGCCGGCGGAGTGGCGTGATGGTTAAGAACTGGCTTGGGACGCCAGAGGGCCCCGGTTCAGATCCCACATATGAGGGCCAGTGACACTGCCCTCCACAGCTAAGATGCTGAACAACAGCTCAACCTGGAGCTGGGCTGCCGTGAGTCGCTGGCGACAGCGTAGGCTGCAGTCCCTGTGGCAGTGGGTTGCCATGGGCTACCGTGTGTAGCCAGCAGCCAGCGTGAGCGGCCAGCAGCCGCAGTGAGCGGCCGTCCAGAAGCCGGCGACTGATCTGCCTCGCCCGGGAAGAGTGCAATGATGGTGCCAACTTGGGCCAGTGAAGCAACGTCCTCCACAACTAGACTGAAGAACAAAAGGACAGCAACTTGTCTGTTCCCCTTCCCCCAATTCCCCAGCGCTGTTCCCATGCCCCCAATTCCCCAATAAAAACCTTAAAAAAATAAGGAAATGGATAATGGTGATGGTTGCATGACAATATACATGTACTTTATGCCACTGAACTCCACTTAAAAATGATTAAAATGGTGACCATTATGTATGTTGTATCACAATGTTTTAATGCAAAAAAATAAACATTCCACTTAACCACCCTAGACAAAGCTACTATCAATAAATTCACAAATATTTTTTTGTGTGCCTACCTTGGACCCACGGTAAATGCTGGAAGGTTTGCATTAACATCCTTTCAGTTGGAAGCAACCAGCCAGCAGCAAGGAGGAAAGTTGGCACTCACAACTGAAAAAGTGTTAGCGTGTAGCACGGTTACTATCCAGAGCCTCAAACAATGCCATCAGGACCCTGTTCTATCCCCTGTCTCTGCTCTGCTCTATGTGGCTTTATTCTCAGACAGGCATCTCAAGAGTTGGCAATGATGGTCCCCAGTGGCTCTTATCAGGTTAGCAACTCCTAGAGAAAGAGGGTCTCGTATCAGTAGCTCCCGCAGAATCCTCAGGACTGATGAATCTCATGAGCCTGCTTTAATTCACATGTCTCACTCTGAGCCCATCACTGACAGATAGGCCCAGCAAAGGAAAACCAGGGAGCTGTTAGAATAGAGGGAAAAGGATGCAGAGGAGGCAGTGAAGGCTGCTTACAGACTGTGCACTCTAGGAATACAAGGAGAGTTTCCGATCATCAGAGAGAACTTGCTATTTGTTTAGGGGAGATGGAATTCCCAAACACAAAAACAAAATGCAAAAATGGTGTGGTGTAAATCCTAAAGGACTTGAATTGGACCTTGATGAAAGACCAGGATTTCAATGTGAAGTCAGGGAGATGTGGGTAGGAGAACTGAAATGTAGGGGCAGAGGTGTGAGCAGTGTGAGGAGGTGGTAATAAGTACATCTGACCAGGGCAGTGAGGTGGTACCTGGGCTGGGAGTGGGACCTGCAGTGAGAAAAGCCACATCATGTGGTGTCAGTGCCTTGAAATCTGGTTTGGAGCTTCTCTGAGCACTCAATTTTCCAATAGTTGGGAATATGTATTATTCAGTCCGTTTATTGTGGAACCACTCCAACTTGTGCAAAGGCAAGACGTTAGAATGAAATCACTTTCTACACTCCTGTCCAAATGAATGCTGAGACAGCTAAGTGGGTAATGCAGGGCTCTGAAGGCAGAGCAGCTGCACAGGGGATGGCCTACAGGAAGTGTCTGTTTATGTCTCCAGGAGCCGGCATTAATGTGCCATTTGCTTTTATGTCCTAAAGAAAGAAGCAGGAGCAGATTCCTCAAACACAGCTAACAGCCCTTGCACGCAGAGCATGCCCTGCCCACTGGATCAGGGCCAGCACCAGAAGCCCAGAGGCATTTCTCATCAAACTGCAGTCAATCTGGACAGCAGCCACATTCCACACTTTCCTTTTTCTCCTTATGAGGAGGTTACATGTTATGTTAAGGTTTTCAATATTATGTGTCTTTTTTTTGGTCGAACCCGGCAGCCTTGTTGTTAAGAGTGCACGCTGTATCCACTGAGCCATCCTGGTGGCAGCTCAGCTGAAGGTGCTGAGTTCAGTCTTAGTTGCAGGTGGGCGTAGCCCACCTTATGCGTCTTTTTAAAAATATGACATAATTCTAAATTTTATTTAGTACATTTGTGCTTCACTCTCTTTTTTTAAATTAAGCTTGTCAGAGTTATGTATACTTATTTTGTTCAAAAATAACTGAGAAATATGACTATCTTTGTATTTTCTAATTAATTGATTTTTTTAAATTGCAGCAAAATACATATAACATGAAATTTACTATTTTAACCATTTTAAAGCCTACGGTTCAGAGGCATTTAGTATAGTCACAATGTCGTGCAATCATCACCACTGTCTAGTCCCAGAACATTTTCATCACCCCAAAAGGAAATATGCATTAAGCAGTCATTCCCTAATCCCTGGCAGCTTCTACCCCAGCCTGTAGCACCCACAAATCTGTTCTGTCTCTATGGATTTGCCTATTCAGGGTATTTCATATAAATGGAATCATACAATATGTGGCCTTTTTTGGCTTCTTTCACTGGGCATAATGGTTTTGCAGTGCATCCATATTGTAGCTTGTATCAGTACCTTATTCCTTTTATAGTTAAATAATATTCTACTGTATGGATGTACTACGTTTTGTTTATCTGTTCATCAGTTGATGGTAATATGTTTATTGGTTACCTTAAACAGCCTTGAGCATTCCCCAAAAGAGTGTCTGGATAATCAGGATACTCATCAATCAATTTACATAATTAAGGCACTTTGGTGTGTTCAAATTTTAAACACAGTTGTTTCAAGAGGCCATTAGTACATAAACTTGTCATGCTTTTCTTTGATTTGCATTTAGTCCTTTCAGCATCATTCTTTGAATGCAGTGTGCATTGGAAACCAGTATAGCAAGGAATCAAGCTGAATCATAAACAAGTTGGCTGTTTGAATGAACTTGATGACACTGGGTCTTTAATACACTCTGAGTTACTAGAATCAGTATGGCACTGAGAGTGGAAAAATCTGAATTTGTATCTTGGTTTGAACACTTAAAGTATGTAACCCCGGGCCATCTCTTTAAGACTGATTTGAAAAACAGCAACAAATAATACCTATCTTCTCAGGCTTATGAGGATTAAGGTTTACTGTGTGCAAGATACTATGTTAAGACTTGAGAACACCAGAGATGAACAGAAAATATAAGCTCCCTGCTTTCCCAGACCTTTAAAAAACAAAACCAAAAATTGTTAAAAAAAACACTAGTGATGAGAAACATGTTACCAAACTCAAGGGGTTCATTTTGCCTGCACACATCAAAGGCAATGGGGACACAAACAGGAGTTTGTAGCCAAGAAAGTAGAGCTTTTTTTAAGGAAATGGCACCAAGCCCAGAGGCACAGGTGAGCTCGTTCTCTTAAGACCTAGCATGTAGGTTACAGATAATATATGGCAAATCACAAGACACCATGGGTTAGGGGTTCAGCGTTGTGTTGGAAGCCGATTGGTTGGAGGTGAGGTAAGGGTAATGAATCATTCTTTCAGGTCTTGAGGACAGTTCTGAGGTCTTTTCGGGAGTTCCTCTGTCTGTTCTCATGGGAAAGTAGCCAGGGGGTTGTTCTACCTTAGGGCTCAGGAGTTGAAACATAACTTTGGTGAAGATGTTATCTTTAACCTGGCAGAGGTCCAGACCATTAGTCAGGTCCTGGCTACTGTCTTCTGCTGCCTCAGGGGTTGATGATTATCCAGGGGAAAGGCTAGGTCTCTGAGGGGTATACATAGAGAGAGGGATATGGTTTCTAGAGCGAGGATTTAAAACTAAATTTAGTCAAAGTCGTAAGGACCCTCAGTGTAGCACACAGTAAACAGTTGTAGGTGTGATGGGGAGGAAGAAAGTCTTCCCTAGGGAGATACTATTTGTACTGAAGCCTGGAAATGAAGTCGC